TTCCAACTTTCTAAATATTCCTTTTTAAGTGGTTCAGAGTTCTGGGAGCATCCCCTGAGCCTGCTTGATAGTCTGTGTTGCAGCTGATGGAGCTCCTCACTGCATTTCCACCCTATGCACCATCTTGTTTGTTCTCCACTATATTCTTTTACAAATGCAAGCATGTTACTAAGAAGTAACATCCTTTTTCTTTCCCTATCTACCACTAATCTGTTAGCATCTTTGAATAAATGTAGGGCTATGGAAAGCAAAATTCACATACTACTGTGAACAGACATTTGTTTAAGTATTTAAAATAAGGCCATTTTTGCCTATGAGATTATGGTCAACAGTAAACTCTTTGAAACTCCAGTGACTGAAAATGAAATGGAAAAAAAAAAACACAAAAAAACCCAGCTGATTTTAAGAAGTCCAATAGTAATTGCTTATAATGGGCAACCTATATATAGTTGTTGGTTGGAAACACTTGGTTTTGAATATTTGTGTACCGTTTACTAGGATTTTCACATTAATGTGCTCTCTATACAGGCCGAATGTTAATTTCTTCACATATAAAAGATGCCCCTTTTAATACACTACTGATGATATATTTGACCAGGCCTACCACACATTGTTGTTAAGTGCTGTTGAGTCGATTCCAACCCATTGCAACCCCGTATAGGGTTTGCAAGGGGCAGCTAGTGAGCTTGAATCACTGACCTTGCAGCTCAAATGACTTTGTAGTCTGACGCATTAGCCCACAGCGCTACATTAGCAAATATTTATTCCCTCCCCATGAAAAATGATAATAATCAAGGAGCCATATCCTTTAAGTTTGAATTCACATTCTGTCTTCCAACTACACTTACTTTCGTGGTCACAATTCTAATCCTGCTGAATTACACCTGTGGGAAGAAACACGTATGCAGTACCTTCTGATATGAGGATGGCCTGAGGGAGAGCGGGGACTGCGACCTCTTTGGTTGACAGCCTGTACCATTAACCGTCCAGTACAACTGACTCGGCCCTGTCAGACATTAGGAAAATAAATGATTTACTATGCAAAACCATTAATCAGTAAACACTATAATATCTACTATCGTCCTATTCTCCTAAAGACATTATTTCAGACCAGGAAAGCAGTGTGTCCTATTAGTATGATACCAACCTCTATCAAACCTGCACTTTCCCCAAGTTAAACTCCTTAGTGAAGTTTACTTTTAAAGAACTCTGGTGACAAGCTCTTTTTCTGAACTAATAAGCGCTACTGTTTAACTATGGTAATGCTTAAAATGAATTTCCTTATCTAATTAAGTGTAATCTAATTAAGCGCTCCCAAATACATGGAAATGAGTTTGTAAACTAGCAGGAGGACATTATTGTCTTGTGATGATTCCACTTTCATGGTCAAATGTCTACTGGTGAGTTGCCAAGTCTGAAATTAAAACTTCTGTTGGACATTTTTAGATGAATGTTAGTGGCATCCCTTCCACAAACTACTTACTACAAGGATGGCAGCATGATAAAATAAGCGTCATGTTAGCAGTGTGCTTGGGGAAAGCCATGTTCTCTGGAAAACAACCTATTGAGATTTAAAAACTGAAGCAATTAAATATCTAAAATGTGTAGGTCTTGTGATAAGAACCTATTTAATAAAAAGCTGTAATTTAGCCCTTTAATTTGTCATGAAAACTTTGGTAAATACGAATGGACAAAAGGTAATGCATATATAAAACCTCAAGGGCATGGATAAGCCATTCATCATTAATGTGACTTTTTGTTTCAGCTTTTTTCTGATTTTTTTTCTTCTGTGTTACTTCCTGTTGTTAAGTCCTGTCAAGTTGGTTCCGACTCATTGCAACCCTGTATAGGGTTTCCAAGGAGCAACTGGTGAGCTTGAACCGATGTTCAAACTTGATGTTCAAACAGACCCTGCAGTCCAATGCATTAACCCACAGAGCCACACCAGGATTCCCAGTGTTACTAGAAACCTAAATAAATATAGCAAAATAAATGTCTGTTGCTTCTTCCTGCTTTGGTTTGGAGAATTTAAGCCTTCTCCCGGAAGTGTACAGTGTAACTAAAGAAGACAAAAATGAAGGGTCATCTGAAATTTTGATTTGTTCATTAAAAATCCCATGACAAAGTTAGAAATCACTACCCAAATATATAAGACTATTAAAAACTGTTTGATACAAAGGCTTGGTCTGAGTATACTGTAGAATGGGCTGCAGAGGACCCATATGGCTTCCTCACGACAGTGATTTTGGACCTTACTCCACTGTTCCTAGTTAGTGTTGTGCTCTTCTGGAAATTGGCCAAGATGATTGAAGCCAGGGAAAAGGAGCTGAAGAAGAAACAAAAATGTCAAGAAAATATTACAAAAGCCAAATGACTAATAAAAGGAATGAAGGAAAGAACAGACTCTGCAATTAAAGAAAAATCATTTGGAAAATTATGCTGATTTGCAAGGACCCACACTAAGTTTCTCCTTTGGATTTTATGGCAGTATTATGTAGTAAACAAAGTCTGACCATATGCAAGAATCATGTTCTGACCTCAATACTGCAGTAACATTTAGCCTTGGGCATAGACGCTTGTTGGTATCTGTTGGCAGTTATAAATTAGCATTTAATTTGCTACAAACTCTTTTTAACTGACCTAGTCATTTGTCAGTTATTGTTTTGCATCATATGTACTGAAATGAAGACATCCTATGGGGAAAAAGAACTTTAGATTATAAATGCTTTTCAAACAGCAGTTTAAATTAGGGCTCTGTTTTGGACAAAGGAAATTATAAATGTAAAAAAAATGAAAATTGTCCTCTCAGAACTTAAAAGTGAGCTTTGGTTTTAAAAAAGATGCTACCTTTTATCATTATTATTTATTGGAGTAAAATAATTTCTGGCTTTCTCAAAGCAAAATGATTATTAATAAGTATTTCTGTTTTCTACACTGTATTTCTGACTTGAGCCTTAGAGATATTATTAACACAATTATCAGACATTCTGCATTTTTATAAACCTAATTCTACAAAGAGTTCTTTTGTTATCATAACTACGTAAAATAGCATCTACTGGGTATAACAAGATTTGTACCTATGAACATTGCCATTTGCTTACAGACAATTTGTTGAGAAGAATAAAACTATGATAAAAAGCTTACATTTAAAATGCCAATAAATAAATGACTAAATTACTGTCCCCTCTCTTCTTCCTAAGAACAAGAAGATATGCTTCTCAATTCTAACTTGGCCAAAAGGGAACATCAAAAGAGGAAAAATGAGAAGCAGATTCATCATTACAAATTAGACTTTGTGAATTCTGTCTGAGGTTTGACCCACAGTTGCCATGTGCTTTTATACTAAAACGCCACCCTTGTTTCCCATTTCCATAGCAAGTTGGTAAAATAGGCAAGTAAAAGAAGCAGGAATATACTCTGCATGTTTTGATGAATCCTGAGTTCCTGCTGGGAAGGGTACTGGAGGAAGGAATATAGGGGGAAAACCAAAATGAAATAACAAACCATAATAGAAATAGATGAAGAGTTGAAATCCCATCAGATATCCCAAAGCCTGGACTTTATTTTAGGGCTATCACCACCCAGAAAGGGCAATGACACATGGGAGTAAGAATTAGGAATTACCAAATAGAAAGAAGTGGTTGTAGAGAAATAAAATTCGACTAGTTTTAAACCACTAGATATGTGACTTCCTCTAGCAATCACAGTATTTGCTACTGAGGGTTCATTACCTCTACTGAAAATTTCCAAGGAGATAAAGTATATCATGATGAGTAGGAATTATTTCTAATTTAAATAAATTATATCTAAAGATGAGGCCAAATGGTACCAACTTTTCCCATGATACATTCTTACTGTATATCTGTGAGTCCCTAAACTAGCTCAAAATCTACAAATTAATTTCATCCAACCAACCACTGATCTGCCAGTTTGTAGCTCTATTGTAGCTTGCATGTTATTAAGATGTTGGAAGCTCTGCGACTGGTATTTTAAATACCAGCAGGGTCACCTATGGTGGAGAGGCTTCAGTGAAACGTCTAGATTAAGACCCTGGAGATCTGCTTCTGTAAAGATCACGGTCAAGGAAGACCTATGGAGCACTTCTACTCTGTAACACAAGGGGTCCTCATGACATGGACTCGAATCAATGGCAATGGGCTTGATTTTTTTTTTTTTTTTTGGTTTTCATACTAAGACAGAGTAGGAAGACTAGACTGGCAAACTACTTCCAAAAACTGTTGTTAAATATGGTTGAGTCGGTTTCGACTCATAGCAACTCTGTCTAGTGTTTCTGAGGAGCGGCTGATGGGTTTGAACAGCCAGTCTTTTGGTTACCAGTTCAGTGCTGAGCCTACAACATCATATCAGGACTCTGTTTCTACAGCTTAGCCAATGAAGACCCTGTGGATCATAACAGAATACTGTCAAATATAATATTTGTTGTTAAGTGCTGTCAAGTCGGTACTGACTCATAGCAACCCTGTATTGGGTTTCTGAGGAGCAGCTGGTGAGTTTGTACTGCTGACCTTGCAGTTCAAATTGACCTTGAGGTCAAGTCCTTATCCTACAGTGCCAACTGTTTGTTGTTGTAAAGTGCTGTCAAGTCAGTTCCTTCTCATAATGACGACCTCATAAGGTTTCCAAGGAGTGGCTGGTGAGTTTGAACTGCCGATCTTGCAGCTCAAATTGACCTTGAGGTCTAGTGCTTATCATACGGTACCACACCAGAACTCCAACAGAGTGCTAAAAATGCACTCAAAATACAGTGACTGAAAAAATGAACGGAAGCACATCAAGCATCATAATGAAGGAGCAGGAGTAGGCAATGTTTTATTCTCTTGTACGTGGAGTTACCAAGAGTCAAAGCCAACTCAATGTCAGCTAGCAACAATAACATCTCCAAATCTATACCTGCTATCTAGATGTGATTTACTTAGGAGCACCCCTGCCCCGCCCATGATAACTGATGCATTCTGGTGATTCTTTAACATAACAAATTAACTTATGATATTCATAATATTTTTTGGAGCTTGAGAACAAGGAAACATATGCTTTGACTTTTAAAAATGCATTCAATTGTACTAATATATGAATACTGTTTCCTTATTATAAGCCTTGATGCTTCAGTGATAGAATGCATATGATTTGGATATATTCTTACTTGTTTTCTAAAACTCAGAGAATTCACAAAGAAGTAAATATTAATCAATCCTTTCTTTATGTGGCTAGAAATGTTAAGTTTAAACTTTAACCTTGAATTTGGGAAAGTAAATGTTAGTTGCTTACAAGAAAAGCAAAACATTCCTAAAACATTTGGTAAACCACTGAATTTATCTAAACCTGTCTCTTCACTGGTGAAAAAAAGGACTGTTGTAAGGATTAAATAATGTAATTTAAGAAAGTATTGTGAAATATTAAATGGTACTTCATGTCATAAATGTTACTTATCATAAATGGCACTGAAGGTTATAAATTCTCCTTGTAAAATTCATAGGTGACACAGTGCTACTACAGACTGAAGACATGATGCATGGGATGCAAAGAGATGTATCAGAGTGATTTTAATGGTCTCAACAGTTTGGCTGACTGAAATAAAAATGTCCAAGTGGGTATATTCTCCTTAATGTATACTTCTTTCTCACGTTCTGGTTTCTTTAAATATCTTTTGACCACTGTCTCTACTGGTTCCTCAGTGTTTTCAAGATGAGCCCTAGACACCGTCACTAAGGTACTCCTTAGTTCTGCAGTTAGATTGCAGACGTTTGTAAAAACAGGTCTACTACTTGTAGGTGGGTAACCCCAGACAGAAAATACTACCTATGTAAGTGATAGCTTCCTTACCTTTGCATCTGCAGAGCCGTATAGTTAATCCTGCAGAGTTTCTTATGAGAATTAAATGAATTCATATGTGTAAGGTGTGCATGATATTTAGTTTTGCACATAGTGAATGCTCAAAATATTCAATTACTATAGAATATAACTATAATAACCCAAGAGATTCTTTTGTTAAACAATCAGGTATGTGTGTGTGTGTGTGTGTATTTTATCTGTTTGCTTTTTTTAAAAAAAAAAATATATGATGGGATTTTCTTTTTTTGCTCTCTCTTTTTTTTCGTTTTTTTGTTATTAGGATGTAATTTACTCTGTTCAAAGGAGAAACTTTGAAGCAGAGTATGTGAAAAGCAAATCAGCCTTTTTTAACTTCTTCTGTTAGGACTTGAAAGGTGCCAGGTACATACTCATGTTTGATGTATGTTTGTTTCTGTGATGACTAAATTTGAGGTCTACAGTGAAAGTTGTTCAACTCAACTCTAATAATTTGCTTATGATAGAGATGCTCTCTGCAATGGAATGAATTACGCCCTATGGCTCTTCTAACTACATTCCCTGTAACTCTCACCAAACTTTTTGCTCTGCTGGATTTGAGTAAGAAGAGGTGGGAGAATATGTTGATAGGATGATGTGATGCAGTTGTGATTGTTAACAGCCTTAACTATGATTGTAAAGACTTGGAAGTCTAATGTGGGTTTAAAATGAGCCCTCTCAGAGGCAAGAGGGGGGACCTCACTGCCATCAAAGAATAAGAGCCAGGAGTGAAGCGTGTCATTTGGACCCTGAGATCTTTGTGCATTGAAGTTTCTGGACCCTGAGGAGTGATAAAGGAGAAGCAGCAGCAGAACTAAGAGCCAGAGCACGAGAAGAGGAGTGGGCTTTCCAGTTCACGGAGCATGTAGCTTAGTGACTTTGGATAGGAGGCTTGCTTGCAGAGTGGGGTGCCTCTAGGCACTTAATTGGGGGAACTAGAGCCAAGGGCCTTCTGGCTGAGGTTTATGGTGGAGTGGTGTGTCCTGTGGGCATTTATCAGCAACCCTAAAAGAGCTTTGTAACACTGACCAGGCAGAGAGAGGCCTACTTGTGGGTATGGCTGACAAGGGCCTGCTCTGACTAGAACAATTGTGCCCTGAGCATTTCTGACCCTGATCTGGAACCCGTCAACTTCTCTAAGGAGTCCTGGTGTGGCGCTGTCAGATCAACACTGGACTGCTAATCACAAGGTGGGTGTTTCAAACCCACCAGTCGTTCCTTGGAAACCCTATACAGTGTTGCTATAAGTTGGAGCCGACTTAACAGCACATAACAACAACAGCTTCTGTAATAAATACCATAAGTATGGCGTCTGAGTTCTGTGTGGTCACGGCAATGAAGTATCAAACACAGCTGAGAAGTAGATTGTGCCATGAAAGGAATGGTTTGTGTCATTTTTTTCACTCCTTTCACCAAAAAAAAAAAGATGAGGATAACCAGATTGGCTTACTATTCTGGAAAAATTACCCATTTCTATAATTTTTTTTTTCAAGATTTTCATTGCTACTT